TTTTTTTTTTTTTTTTTTTTTTTTTACCTTCCGGTGCAAATTAGGGTAATCTTTTTTTAATTAAGTTTATAAACAATATTCTCATATTAAAAAAAAAAATTAATCCATATTTTAAATAATTCAGATCACACTAATATCGTACAAATTAGGTCAGATTTTTTCATAATATCGTACAAATTAGGTCAGATTTTTTCGATTTGATTTGAGTTGAATAATTCGGGTCTGATCACAATTTTTGTTCTTAGACTGAGAATCATTATTTAAAATTTAAGAAAATCATTATCTAAATAAATTTGTTAGGAAGTTAAAAAAATAATTTTAAAAAATAAAAGTCTAATAAATAAATTTGTTAGACTGAGAATCACATAAAATTGCTTCTAGTAAAATACGTCTCATGAGATCCCACATCGGTTAAAGAGGAGATCGAAACATTTTTTTATAAGGGTGTGGAAACTTATCCGTAGCAAACTCATTTTAAAAACTTGGAGGAAAGGCCCAAAGATAACAATATCCGCTAGCAGTGGATTTGGGCTATTACATATTTAACCATGAAATTTTTATGATTGAGCCAAAAAAAAAAAAAAAATGCACGTTGTTGGTATAGGTAGTAACTTTATTTTAGTTATGTTACACGTTTAACCATGAAGTTCCTATAGATAGTAACTTTCAATTATTTCAAGCATGTATTAGTAATCAATCCTATTATTAGGATCACTCTCATTTAAATGTGGTATCAGTCCATTCATCATATACAACATCATACCTTAAACAAACATGAAATTTTATATATGCAACATTTGATTATTTAAATTAAGAAAAAAAGCATGTAGAGACGCCCAATAAGCTGCTTCTATTTAAACGTTTTCTTTTGACGAGTGTGTCATAGTTGACAATGAGTGAAGCATGCGTCTCCTCAATTGATACTCATCTCGAACAACATGTTTTTTTTTTTTGTTTAAGAAAAAAAAATAATTTTTTCCATATATATAAATATATTAAATTAAAGTAAATATTATTTATAAAAAGTTGGAATGAAATATGAAATTATTTAAGATATTAAATTTTAGATTTAAAAAAAATGCATCGAGAATATACTAAAAACTTAAGAAAATAATATAAAAATAACATAAAAATAATAAAAATATCCCAAAAATGTTGCGGCTTTTCCGTATAAACGTCTCTACGTGCTTCAATCTGTCCTCCATTAAGAGTATTTATTTATTGATAAAGTTTAATCTAAATAAATTAAATTCTTTTTGCCACTTTCCATATATATATATATATAAAATTAATCCCAAGAGGTTATTTACGTGAAAAAAAGAAAAAAAAATAATTTTTAAAATAAATAGTTACCCGAGATTATTTGAGACATTTTTAACCATAATTTCAGATTTTTAGATCACTTTAATTCAAATATAGTCTTAATTCATTTATATACTCTTTTTTTATACAGATGTCACAAAAATAGTCATATTTTACCGATATTATTAATAAATTATTAAAATTTAGAGAAATTGTAATTTAAAATACTATTAAAATATTAATATTTTTAGAAATAAAATGACAAAATCAAAACAATACAAAACTATGAATAATAATGAGTTGACTGCGGTCAAAGAACATAAAAATGGCCAGACAAAAGAATATTTGCTCATGACTTAACATTTCAAAAATCTATTTCATTAAAAAAAAGAAAAAAAAAAGAATTTCCTCGTCAATTTTCCAACTCATTCAAACTAATCTACCTCGATCTCTAATTCAACCGAGACTAGTTAAAGCTAAACCTAGCAAAGCTATGCAACGTGGTTGTTACGACCCTTCTTAATCTTATAAAACCGTCAGCTCCGCAAATAAATTCTCTTAAACTAGTTAGTGTTCCTACATTCTCTGATGACAACCGAATTAACAGTGCTCAGTTTCTATTTACAGCTCGAGGGCGGTCGCCCTCTCGAGAGAAAAACAAAACCCTAAGAAGAAAGGTGGTGGGAAAGTACTAATGGTGTCTCAATTTATGGCTTCTTGGTCCATGATAATCCTCTTGCATGCCTGGTAGCCATTGAGAATGTGGTTTTCTTGAGGCCTTGCTTGGGGCTCTCTTCATCTTCATCAACAAATCTCCACCACTTTTCTTATACTCTTTGCTCATCCCTTTCTCCAACAATCTAATCCCTTTAAAAAAAATTCCTTTTTTAATCGTCTTACAACATAAAAATATCGTCTTTTTTACTTAAGAACACTCATTTACTCGTTTCGTAATGATTTTGAACTTAACAATAGTGATTTTAACCATTTCAGAATGTTAGAACGTAGAACAGTGTTTTAAAAGAAGACCCAGATGATAAAATTAGTTGAGGAATTAATTGGTACCTTGAGCTCGGGAGACGATGAGGAAAAGAAGAAGAACCGCCATTGAAGAGAGCTTCATTTGGACTGTATGAATAAAGCTTGAGGTTTGGTGCAACAATGGTGATGAGAATGGATGAAAAAGATTTGAACTTTGAGGCTTTGATTTGATGTCTTTGTGTGAGGGTTAGAGAAGAAAATATCTGAACTTTTTGACAAGCATTTGTTGATTCATGTGTGTGTGTGTGTCTCTATATATATATATAAAGAGAGAAAAAAGAATGGGAATTTCAAGCTACTTTATTTCTGGTTTGTTTTGTCTGTTTTGTGAAGATGGGGAACACCGAAAAGACCAATCATTTTATATTGGAATAATATATATATATATATATATATATATATATATATACACAAACGATCTCGACTTAGTTGGAATGGAGAACAAAACATTTTTTATAAGGGTATGAAAACCTCTCCCGAAGATAGACGCATTTTAAGATTGTGAGACTGACGACAATACATAACGAGCCATATTAGACAATATCTACTTATCGTGAGCTTGGACTGTTACAATAAATATATATATATATATATATATATATTACCTGAATTGGAGTCTTCCCTCAAACAAGGAGGGCTGGTCGGACAGAAGCGGGGTATGCTACCAATACCTAGTAAGTCAATTCCGGTATTGTCTAAATAACAATGAAGCACGAGAAAGCCTAAAAGAAAGTCTGTACTATTACTGAGCTAGGTGACAGGACTGAGATAAGCTGTTATTGTTTCATAAGCATGTGGCAATCTGGTGGTATAGTGAGCTCTCTCTCTTGATTAAGCTTCGGTCATTGATAGAGAGAATCACCTAGCCTAGTATTAGACTCGACTAGCCTTGGGCAGATTGCTTTGAATAGTGTAGTTTTCTTAGCTCCGGGAATTGCCTTATCTATATATATACCAATAAAAAAAATATGGATATAAAAGAATTCAATATTTTAGTATATTTTTCTTTAAATAATTTTTTTTTTTCTTTCAAGCGTGACAAATTTTTTTTAATATTTAGATACAAATATAACTTGAATGAACATTTTTTTAATGAAATAAAATTAATTTTGAGACGAAATAAGATTAATATTGAAATTAAAAATTTAGGGTATCAATCCATACCCACACGAGGGGACAACTTGATTTGTTGTGTACCCATTATATGTATATATATGTTTGAAGGGAATGAGTTGGCTTTTGGTTTGGAACTTTCCTTTTTTTTGATTGACTAATCACAAAATTTGGTGATTGATGTAATTCCATATTGTCATATCAAAATTACCCTTCTTTTGAAAGAAAAAATCCTAGAAATCCTTGAAAAATTTGGATCTTTTTTGAATCGAGATTATGAATTTTCATATCGACGGTAGAGGGGAATGAAGTATTATTAATAAGGGTATAAACGTATTTTAAAATCATGAGACTAACGTCGATATGTACTAGCCAAAGTAGGTAATATTCGCTAGTGGTGAGATTGAGGTATTACAAATGGTAGACATCGAGTGGTGAGCCAATAAGGCGTTGGCCCTACAAAGGGGTGGATTGTGAGATCCCACATTCATTGGAGAGAGAAACAAAACATTCCTTATAAGGGTGTGCAATACTCTTCCTAATAGACGTGTTTTAATACGTGAGGCAGACAATATTTGTTAGTGATGAGATTGAGCTGATACAGATACCACATCATTCGAACAAGATTGATTCTGAAAACCTGAACTTATGGTTAATAAAGGGTTAAAAAAAAGTTGATAATTACGGAAGTTAAGAGTGTTTGACTGATAAAACGTGCAAAAAAAATATGTGGGTAGTGTTCGGATTTCAGGAATGTCATGTGTCGAATCTAGATTCAAAATCTTGAACACGAAGACGAAATTGATTTGTTTATTAGGAAGGTTAGAATCATTTTTTTTATTATTATTATTTCCACTTAGAAATGCTTTGTAATGTCAAATTTAGTAAGTACATGAGGTACAAGAACATTGAGACAAACTTACATTAAATAAACCAACCCATGATAAAATAGTATATATGGTCATAAAACATGTTTTCCTTTAAGACGTTTAAGTTCCTTGGGTCTTGTTTGGATGTCTATTCAAAAAAGGTACCTAATTATTATATAGTTTTTTTTTTAATATATGTATATTTTAAAAATAATTTTGAATTAACAAACAAATTTAGAAAATATATAAGAAAAATAATTGAGTTAATTAGGATTAAACGTTTTTAGTTTTTCAATTTTTGAAAAATAAAAGCGTTTTGTGACACTAGATTAAGGGAGATGGCAGATTCGAATTACCTTGTTGATTGAATATCTCAAAGTAAGAACATTGTTTGAGATTCGAATCACTTCACAAGCAATATCGATCATGTCTAGCTTAAATGATTCTTGTTGATCAAATATCTCAATGCAAGAACACTTGTTTGAGATTCGAATCACTCAACAAGCAGGATTGATCATGTCGAGTTTGAATGATTCTACATGCAACCTAAACTACATAGAATGACAAAGAAACTTAGTCATTGGCTAAAGAAAGCACAAATGCTCCTTGTACTATATTTTTAAAGTCTACTTACAAATACATGACTTTATATAACCTGAAAATGAAACTATTAAAGATATATCAAGAGTTCGTAACATTCATACTTAATGGTTGTAATTAACTATTATGTAATTGTAACCTAAAGTAAATAAAAAATCTTAAAATACATTAATGAAATACAATAACTCTAAATTACTCCAAAATATAGTCCACCCAAAATTTATAACATGAAACTTCAATCTCTTCAATGTGGCATGAATTGAAATATCTTTTGATAATTTCAACAATATTTTATTCACATATTTATTGAAGCATATTGTATGATTGATGTCTCTTGGTTCATATCAAAAGAGATAAATGATTGAAGTGAGACCACGTTAAAAATGAAGTGATATTGAAGATAAAATGACTAAGAAAGTCTTAATGTAAATAACTAGGAACTTCACAGTTAAACGTGTTTTTCTTTGGGCAATTATAAGTTGGGTAGTCTCAACGAATTTTTTCTAGAATTTATGTGAGTAAAGACAAAATATACTAGAAAGACTCATGTTGATCTGTGAAGATAATCTTCATTCTTAGAAGGGATGAGTAAGTAATGTGACCATATCACGGGAATGTAGAGTAACGTTGGAGCTATCATATTTTAAATCTTGGACATAGATCGTTATATATCGGACAACCGATTAATTTTTTTTTTCAAAAGGCGTTCGTATTTTGTAATTAATTATCTTTTAAATGGAACATTTTTTATTTTAAAAGAAAATTATAGTAAGTTGATGTCGGAAAATGGATCCCAACTTCCCCAACTCACAAATAGAGTTAGACATCGATCGCCTGTTTAAAGGAATTGGTTTTCATTGTCGTCTTGTCGTCCCACCCAATTACGTGCGTCATGACGTCATACTTAATCCACGTATTTTTTTTTTTTTTTTTTGCTAAATTAATAGAAATACTCCAAATTTAGTATTTTATCTACAAAAGAATTTTAATAATATATTTAAAATTTACAACCGTTAATTTTAGACTCAATTTTAGAAATTTTCATTAATATCCTTCCAAAATAAAAATTATGAAAAATTATTTAATTTATTAGAATATTTTAATTTTTTAATAAAAATTATATTGGAAAATGGATATTGTCCATTAAAAATATTATATAAAAACGTGAATATAAATATAGAAAAAAATTATTGTGAAAATCAAATAAATAGATAATTTTACATAATCTTGCTGCTGAAAGGGGGGAGAAGAAGCAGAGTTCCGCGAAGCTAATCGATTTTCTTGGCGGTAACTGCTTTCCTTCCTTCCTGTGCTTGATACAACAATCATTGTTCTTTCTTGTTCCGATTATCGTTCGTAATTCGTCCTTTTGATGTTCTGTTGTTAAAAAGAATCTCTGTTGTATGTTGAAGTTGAATTGTATTGTGGTCTGGAAATGTATGGTTTATGATTGAAATTAGGTTGAATTTTGCTTTGGTTTGAAGAGGATATTGTCGAATGCGATTCCGTGTTTGGTTATTAGGAATTTGTTTGTTTAATTTGTAAATGTAACTCAACTTCGAACTGTTTCATTAGGTTGGATTTGAATTTGCTGTTATTCTTCTTTTCGTTGCTATCAGGATTTAGGAATTGAACAGGATTTAGGCATTGGGATGTCTGCCATATTTATCTTCTTACATTATATGATATTTTGATCTGGACGAAGTGGAAAATTTGCAGTCCAGCCATTTGTAGGTTTGGTTTCAAGTGTAGGAGATGAAATAAGTCATACACTAGAAGAATTATCTTTTTAGATCTCAAAGTTACTTCTGAAATTAAGGAATATGTAACTACCAAAGTCCACCGCTAGCTGATATTGTCTTTTTTGGGTTTTCAGTTTTGGGATTTTCCTCAAGGTCTTTAAAATGAGCGCTAGGGAGAAGTTTCCACACCCTTATTAAGAATGTTTCGTTCCCCTCCCCAATGTGAGGTCTCACAATCTAGAGACTCCACGTCGATTGGAGAGAGGAATGAGTGCCAGCGAGGACGTTAGGCCCCGAAGGATGGTGGATTGTGAGATCCACATCAGTTGGGGAGGAGAACGAAGTATTATTTATAAGAGTGTGGAAACCTCTCCCATCGGAAAAGGAAAGCCCAAAGAGGGCTTGGGCTATTATAGAATACCTGAAGTTAAGCATGGGGAACCGAGTTGTTTCATTATCGGTTTGATATTTCCTTTTCATTTTTTTCTTCTATTCCATTCACTTTTAAGCTTTCCTACTCTGCTTCATCTTGTAAGTGTTAAGTTGATCTCACCAATTACAACTTGTCTAGTTAAAGGAAGGAGTACAGTATTATAGCCTTTTCTCCCCTCAAAGAGACAATTCTCGACAGCTTCTGATATTTCTCAACCGAAGTGGTTTCTTATGCCTTGTTGAAACTACCATTCAAATGCACGAAGATTTTAGGTAGATATTTTGATGCAGTTCAAAGGATTCTTCGTGGAGGAAAATAAGTCTTATTATAATGTTACATAAGTAGCCTTGGTATTGGATGTATAGCCTTTTCATTTCCTTGGATAATGTGAATATGGGGCTGATATCTTGACTGTAGCTATATACTATTGCAGTTTAGTATGGCTGTGGAGTATTTCTAAATCTGTTAGAAGGTGGTCTTTTAGTGGATGAAAGT